CTCTGGCTGATCGGGTTTGCTGGTTTGCTTCACACGAATTTCTTTCCTGGTTGTCACCTGTGTCCCAGACGTATTACTTACCATTTTACATCAGGTGATACCAGTGTGTGGCTTAGCTTTGTCACCATTAAACAAAAAGGCGCTGGCCCCAGTCAGTTCGGCTCAGCGGTCAGAGCATCAGCCCTGGGACTGAAGGTCATGAGTTCGATCCCTGGCCCCGGTCAGGGTCATGTGGGTGGCAACTAGTCCATGTGTCTCTCTCACGTCCTGTTTCTCTGCCTCCCTTCCACTCTATCTAGAAATCAATGGAAACATATCCTCCAGTGAGGATGAATAAACAAAAAGAAACAGGCAGTGTCATCAATCTGACCGAACAGCAGTGCCGTCCTCTGGTGAGAACCTTCGGTTTGGGAGCGGCTGTGCGTGGTGGGCAGGGCACGTGGGCACACCACCTAGGAAGGAGCACCCAGGAGTCAGCTGCACAGGCTCCCAGGTCCTTTCCAAGGGAAGAAAAGCACTTGAACTCCCCGGGCTTCGAGTTCCTGCCAACTGCTACTCTGAAGTGAGGTCAGCGAACTTTCTGCAGAGGGAGGGGCAGTAAGTGCTTTGGGGCCTGTGGCCACGTGGATTCCGTCTCAAAGCCTCAGCCCCGCCACTGCAGCTGGGAGGCCAACAGAGGGGTGTGGCTGCAGACCATGAAACGGTGTTATAAAGCCTGAATTTGACTTTCATAAAACTTTAATGTGACAGGAAGTATAATTCTTCTTTTGACACTTTTTCCAGCCATTGGAAAACATAGGACCATTCTTAGCTTGGCCTGCACAGACCAGGTTGGGGGTTGGATCTGGCCAGGAGCACAGTTCAATCACCCCTTTCTAGTCAAAATCTCAATAAACACTTGTTACTGGCAAGCAAATTTCTCCTACAGAAAACAATTTGCAAACCCAGTATCAATCCAGCATCCCCATTAAGCTTCCCACCTTCTCCAACCCCACAGAAGCTCCAGCTTCAGGCAAAGGCCAGTGTAAAACAAGCTGAAATACATTCCTTTTCTGAGCACTTTAAATAAGTTTCAAAACCTCTCTTCATAAACAGGAACAAGACCGCATCCTGATGAAGGCACCACGCGTCCCGGTGACAGAAACAGCGACGGAGCCATCTCGTGGACCCCACATTTACAGAGCAGCAACAGGGCCCGACTGGTGTGGCTCAGCAGTTAGAGCATCTGCCCCATGGATCAAAGGGTCGTGGGTTTGATTCCCAGTCAAGGGCACGGACCTGGGTTGTGGTTTGTCCCTGGCCCTGGCTGGGGTCATGCAGGAGGCAACCAACTGATGTCTCTCTCTCACATCGATATTTCTCTCCCTCCCTCCCTCCCTCCCTCCCTTTTTTATGTTCTATCTAAAAGCAATAAAAAAAATCCTCAGATGAGGATTAACAAAACAAACAAGCAAACAAAAAGAAAACAGTAGAAGGCAGTCGGCAGCTTCCTGTTCACAGGCACACAAAACTGTCTTTACCCAACATCCATCACCAAGATGAAGCAAACAGACAGTAGACTGAAAAACCGCTTCAATGAATGAGATTGTTCGAAATTTTATACGGCTACTAAGATAACTTTAATAAAATTATTTCTTACTCCCCTAGACATTATTTCCTTAATTATTGAAAAGAAATAGTATAAAAGTGATGTGGGAAATACTTGTGTCTCTAACACCTTTTACTTTTATGCAGCACTTTCCTTCAAAGGTAAAGGTGGCCTCCACTGGCTCCACACCATAGTCAAGAAGTAAGGAGCTGCTACAATTTTGCTGGAAATAATTCAGCACCCTTGGCAGAGCAGAGAATGAAGAGAACACTGCTGAATTACCAACCTAAGACTTCTTCCAAGTAGACCATGAAGACTCCATCCAGTTCCTTCCAGAGAAGGAAGCTTGTACTTTCTGGAATGAGAACTTTCTGACATAACATTCATCCTTGTTCCTGAAGACCACTGAGGACCACCGAGAACAACACCTTCATAATGCCCACTGTTTCTATTCTGGACATGACAGTGGACCATACTGACTGGGTTATAATTATCTCAGTGACTTGCCATCAACAGAGCTAAAAGAGTTAAATACACACACACACACACGTACTGAGTGTCTAATATCTACCTGAAAGAGAAGCATGAACTACAGTTCTAGTTCATTCGAGTTGTGTGGCACTTTCCAGGTAACATTTTTCTAGACGTAAAGCACACTGTCTTTACTCTAAGAACCCAGGATCCTCTGCCACAAAGCCAGTGTTTCACATGGAACATCAATATGTCAGTAACAGGTCAGTACAAAACCAATAGAAGAGTATCTTTGATTTAGGATAGAGTCTAAATTGTTAGAATTCTACTTGAATTAGCAAATTCAATTCTATTCTATCAATGACAATTCATTGATTTGTTAATTTTACAAACCAAAGGTACCGTTTTCCTCTGGTTTATCCTTAAGTGCCCCTTGCACTGATTTCCTGAATGGACTCTTGTTTTGCATGAACACAGACTTTCTTAGGAACTACAATGCAATCTGAATACCAATAATAAGACATCCATCCCCATTTTTTTAAAAAACAAGACCTGCAGTTTTTTGTTTTTTGAAAAAGGGACAAGCCCTGGCCAGTTTGGTTCAGCAGTTAGAGCATCAGCCCACAAACCAAAGAGTCACAGCTTCAATTCTGGCCAAGAGCATGTACCTTGGTTGTGGTTTGTCCCTGGCCCTGGTTGGAGCCCTACGGGAGGCAACCAGTCGATGTGTCTCTCTCACATCGATGTCTCTCTCTCTCTTTCTTCCTCCCACTCTGTCTGAAGATAAATAAAAAAATATCCCCCAGTAAAGATTAAAAAAAAGAGAGAGAGAGAAAAGGGACAGGAGGAAGTCTGGGAAGTAATCCTCTCTTCAAGCTGTAAATCAGCATTTTTTGGACATTTACTTAGGTGTGGATGGTGTTAAGATTATGCTTGAGCCGCACCAGAGATGGAAAATCCCACCAGGAACAGCAGACATGTCTTTTTCTCGTAACTTTGTTCTTATATCTGTTCTAGCTTTAAAATACCACTTAGAGGGTACTAAAAGTCATTGTCATTCTTCACAGTGTTCACCCAACACTGTGACCGCAGACTTTCTGGAGCTCAGTGGAAACACTTCTGCAGAGAATAAATGATTCTTGAGTTAATCCCCAAGGAAAAGCTAGGGGACTTGTGACTTATCTGAGGACCAGAGCGAGGTACAGGTCATGAAGGCAGGACAGGTAAACAAAAACTAAAGAATAGTGTTGGTTTGCCCTGGCCGGTTTGGCTCAGCGGTTAGAGCGTTGGCCCGAGGACCAGTGAGTCTAGGGTTTGGTTCCAGTCAACGGCACGGACCTCATTGCTGTGTGATTCCCGACCGGGCTGGGGAGGCAGCTGGTGGATGTGTCTCTCTCACACTGATGTTTCTCTCTCTCTCTCTCCCCATTCCTCCCACTCTATCTGAAGATAAATACAAAAATATCCTGGGGTGAGGATTTAAAAAATTAAGGAAAAAAAGAATAGTGTTGGCAAAGCTAAAAAGTAAGATAACAGGTTTGTCTTGTTTAGGGCTGCCTTTAACACAGTTTAAATATCACAATACAAGCTGGACTTGTTTATTTCAGGGTAAATGCTCTTCAAGTTGGTCTTTCACCCCAGACTTCTGAATCAGTTTTACAGAACAGAAGAGGAGGTGTCCTAGCACTCAGACCCAAGTAATGACCATAACAACCCACTGGGTTTAGCCCCAGGGGATTAAACACGAACCCTGGGAGGTGGAAAGGGGTGAGGTAAGGCAACCAGGAGTAACAAAATGGATTCGCAGGCAAGGTGAGGGGAAGGGGCACAAAGAATTCCTGGCAGGGAATCACAGGCCCAGATTCCAGGACAACGCTGGCAGCTAGGAAGTGCGTGTCCTTGTGCAAGCCCAGACGACTGCTCCGAGACCTAACTCCTGCACAGAGGGCACTGTGCGGAATGCTCTGGGACACTTCCCGGCCATACCGACTTGCAATCATCTGCACGCACGTGTCTGAGCCTCCCTCAGCCGCTGGGGAAACCCAGCCTTCTCCCATCTAGTCTGCACAGTAAGGCCGGGCACAGGGTGGGTCTCCTGGGTGGCTCCTGCACCCAAGCACGCCCTGCTAGGGGAATAGTGCTAGGGAAGTGCCCTTCAAATTTCAAGGGAGGCGTTGCACACATGAAGTTGAAAAAACTTCTGACTCAAGGTGCCCCCATTTTTCCAGATCCAGGACATTCCCTCATCCCTCCTCCTATTCTGAAAAGAAACCAGATTGGCATGTGTGCTCAGAGGTCACCTGCTAGGAGCAGCATGATGTCACTCGGTTACCTCTAAGCCACTCCCAAGACAGAAAAGAGCCGAAATGCCTGTGCATCATCAAAAGGAAGGACGCCCTGCGGAAGGTGACCCTTCAACGCGTTACATTCGCTCCTGCGGCCAGGGCTGCGGGGTGGTCCGGAGGAAGGTGCGCGCATCGGAACCGGGTTGCCAGCACCCGAGGCCTCGCCCGCCGCCGCCGGGCGGTGAAGATTCCGACCAAGATTCCAACCGGACGGTGGGGCGTCGGAGAGCCGGAAAAGGGGGCGCAGCCCACGAAGCCCCTCTAGCCACCCAGGCCGAAGGCTTTAGGGACCACTTTCCAAGAGTTACGGCGGCAACACCCAAGTGATGTCCTGAGGCCACTTCACCAGCTTAGGACTCCACCAGCCCGCCCTTTGCGAGTCCCCACAGGAGAGGCCCAGGGAGGGGCCGGTGGCCAGGCTGGAGGGGCTGGTGACACCGGAGTGAGGCAGGCGGGGGGCAGAGGGGCTGGGGACACCAGGGTGGGGGCAGGCGGGGCGGAGGGGCTGGGACGCGCGGGATGGGGGCAGGCAGGGCGGAGGGGCTGGGGAGCAAGGGGTGGGAAGTGGCCACGATGCCGGGCAACTGGGATCCTACTGGCGGTGGAGAGCAAGGTGCTGGGGAAAAGAGCGCGGACCTGAAGTCCAGGTTCCAGTGGCCGGAGGCATTGCTGAGCACCAACAGGCTGTGGCTGCTGCCTCCAGCACCTGGCCCAGGACCTGCTCGCCCTGCAGCTGGGACAGGCACTCATGCTCCGGGAGGCTCCACTTCAGCTCATGCAGCTCCTGGCGCAGCAGGTCCTCACAGGGCAGTGCCACCAATGAGAGACCATGGTGCTGAAGACCAGGCGGAGCAGGTAGCTGAGCACCAGAAAGCCGAAGCACAGGCCGAGCGGGTCCGCCCACCAGGTGCCTGCAAGAGCTGCTGGCCTAAACCACAGCATCTTCCTGAGCCAGAGCAGAAGCCTGAGCAGATCCACCTGGGCAGCTCACCAGCCCTGAGGCTTCGCGCCCACCTCCCATGCCCCTGGGCCCAGTGCCTCCCTTGGACTCCCCCCACCCACAGAGCTCAGCTAGTGTCCTGTTTACACCCGAGCTCTGCTCCCTTGGGAAGCTTTTCTTTCTTCTTCTCCTGCTCCCTTCGGGATACAAAGCTGCAGGGATGTGGTGCTGATGTGGTGCAGGCTCAGGTAACCGGAGCATCCCTGGTAACCTCACACAAACTTGGCCAGAGCGCGGGGCTGGACTGGAGGCCCCTCCAAGGACTCCTCCTGCTCCTGCCAGGTTCAGTAAGCCTTCTGGAGCAGCCCTCTGGGGGTGTCAAAGTGCTTGTGTGCTCGTGTGTGTGTATGCATGCACAAGTGTCCATGTGTGCGCTGGCATGTGTGAGGGTGTGTCTGTGTGTATGCACACGTGTGACTGTGTGTCACTGTGTCTAAGTGTGTGTGCCAGTGTCTGTGTACACACACATGTGTGAGGGTGTGTGTGTAAGTGTGCATGCATGTAGAAGTATGTAACAGTGGGTATCTTTGTGCACACACGTGTGTGTCTATGAGTGTGTGCACGTACATGTGGGTGCATGCACATGTGTGTCTGTGTGCATGCACATGTGTGAATGTATGTGTGTGTGTGTGTCTGTGGGTGTCCATGTGCATATATGCAAGTGTTGGAGTGTGTGGGTGCACGCTCATGGGTTTTTGAGAGTGTGCACATGCACATGAGTGTCTGCAAGTGTCTGTGTGCATGTGTCTGTGAGAGTGTGTGCACTGGAGTAAGAGTGTGTCTGTGCATGCTGAGATGTTGGCCACACTTCTGGGCTATGCACTGCTGTCCAAGCCTCTGGTTCCAGCTATACCCATTCCTCACCTACTGCTTTCTCATCACTATTGCCAAAGAGTGAGCACTGGGGTACTTCATCTGTCTTACTGCCCCAGGGCTGAGCATAGTGGTACCAACCATGATGGGTCCAGCCTCAGGCACCTTGGCTTCCGACTAGAAGTTTCTTCAGACCCACCCACCCCCCACAAGAAGGACCTGGAAGTAAAGGAGAGTTTTGGAAAAGTCCTGCTTCTGAGCTCTAATTCTTTAAAACATGAAAAGTGAAAAGGTCCCAACATGCCTACTAGCAGAAGAAACTGAGCTTTGCCAAGTGGTGATTCTTATTAAGGTAGGAGGATCAGTGAGCCCCTCATTGTGGATGGCAGTAAAATTGGGCCTTTTGTGGAAAGGCCATGTAACAGTGTGTTTAATGAGCCTGGAAAGAAGTTATTTCCTCTTAACTCCATGATACGTCCTAAAAAAAATAATCAGAGGGGCAGAGGCAAAGATTTATAGAAAATAATTTTCATAAACAACATATCTATATTATACATGTAAAATATATTTGTGTGTTATGTACACATGCATAGGTATGATATAATGAAGAACCAGAAACAATCAAATGTTCAAAACTAAAGGAATGATAAATTATGGTCTCTACAGTGAGGACATCATATAGCTATTAAAGATGAAGCCTACTGGAGCATAAGCAATCTTATGTATAGAATATATAAAATCTTATTTACAGAGTTTCCAATTTGTAAAACAGAACTCTTTCTGCCTAATAGATCGACTGCAGGGAAAAAATCCAACTCCTAACAGTGGGTGATGGTGGAGTATATAGGTGACTTTTATTTCTTGTACGTTTTTGTATTTTTCAATTTTTCTACAGTGGACATATATTATTATCATAATCCAGAAGGAAAAAAATAGAGTAAATGAAACTGAATTGTAGAATTATTTCTTAAAACTACTTTGTTGAATTCTAAATAAACACCATATTTTGTGCTTGTTGAAAAATTTTCATCAGTAATGTTTCACTTTAAGTAAGTAATCTTTTTATATATATATATATATATATATATATTTTTTTTTATTGGTTTTTTAGAGAGAGACCAAGGGAGAGAGATGGAAAATCGCTGCCTGCACGCCCCCTACTGGGGATTGAGCCCAAAGCTCAGGCATGTGCCCTGATGGGGAATCCAAGCAGGACCCTCTCAGTCCATGGGATGACACTCAATCCACTGAGCCACACCAGCGGGCTCAGTAAATAATCTTATCTTCTACTTTACTCAGAAAATTGAAGCCATCCTCCACTTTATATTTCTGCACTTCAAAATATCTAATCACTAATCCATTCCCCCTTGAGGAAAAAGCACCTCCTCATCTCCAAGGTACAGCCATTAACCCACCACTCCTGTCCCTTGGTCTCCGGTCACCCTTCCCTCAGCAACCAGTCGCCACTCTTTCACAGCTTGAACTCCTCCTCTGCACCTGAAGTCCACGTCAAGGCTCCTGGCCCTGCAGTGCTCTCTGCAGTGCTGCACGGCCCAGCGCCTCCCGCCCCACCTTGATCTCTGCCAGTTTGACACGTTGCTGAGGGCTCTCCTCGGGCAGCACCCCCTCGAGGTTCTCTTGCCTCTCATGAGCCTTTCCGCCCCGGGTCATCGGGTCGTCGTGTTCCTGCCCCTGTTTGCCTCACTGCCTCGGCTCGTCTGTTTTGGACAGTCCCCATTCTGTCTCCGTCTGGGATGCAGTACCTGTCCTTCAGGGCCTGGCTTAAATGCCATACCTCATCTTCCAGACAGACCTCTGATGCCCGCAAGGGGATGTGATCACTTCCTCTTCCCAAACCACATAACCCTGTGAATGCCAGTTTGTGGGGCATGTGTGATTAAGAGCTGCACTCACAGGTGTGGTTTCATCATCATAACAAATGCGCGCACACATATAGGGCAGCTTTAAAACATGGTTGCAAGGTCTTTGACCCTCCTCTCATCAAAGGAGTGTCTAGTACCCCGAAACTCTGGCCCGGAGTCTGTTTCTGCCAATAGACTGCATCAGAAACGACGCTTGGTGATTTCGAGGCCGGCAGCTGAAGGGTCCTGGAGCCCTGACGCACTCAGACCTCTGATCACCTGGAGGCAATCACGGTGACCTGTGCTGCGGGGAGGCCACATGAAGGTGTGCCAGGTGACAGTTCCAGGTGAGCCAGCCTTCTGACCATCCCCACTGAGGCCCTGGACACCTTCAGCCTCCAGACCAGGCCATCCACCTGCTGAATACACCACAGGACTTTGCCAGTGCCCCCTGGAACAGAAGAATCTTTGCTGATCTTCACCTGAATGCTGACCTATAAGACAGTTGTCATTTCCAGCCCCTAAGTTTGAGATGGCTTTTTGTGCAGTGATAGCTCACTGGAACAGCATCGTCTGGACTGTGCTGAACTTTAAATATCATCGTTAGATGTTTTGTGCAGAAGTATTGGCCATTCTCTCATATTTCTCTGCTCTTAGCCAGTGTCATATTACCATTAGGCCAGGATACCAAATACCTTAAAATCATATGTTACCCTTAGACTACAGATAGAAACTGGGAGTGTAACTCGAGTGGTCTGGGAGGAATCGAGGTCCTGCCTTGCATCTGGAGGTGGTGGCCGAGGTGTGCAGGGACTTCTGAAGCCTGCTACTGGATTCGACAGGAGTCACCATGTGAGAAGCGGGCTGCCTCGCTGCCTGCCCTGCCCTGCTCTGGACAGTTACAGTCTTAGTGACATTCGGATATTTTCTTCTTGGCTTTCCCTCTCAGTCTCCTCCAGGGGGCCATTGGAGCCGGAGCTGACAGCCAGCTGCCTGACCCCAGGTGCCAGCGGCCGTCCCCGGCATTTCTCAGAAAACATGGGAACATGGGAAAGCTCTCAGGCTGCAGCGATGCACAAGGGGAGAGCCGGGGCATGGCACCAGCCCGGGGCTGCTTTCCACAGCAGTGTTCTTGTCACTTGACATCATTAGGAGACAGGTGACCAAGCTTTGTGAGAAACAAAACTTGCACGTGGCACAGAGCCTTGCAAGTTAATCTGACACAGATCGAATTATGTAAATGACCACTATTGTGTTATGGTGATTAGATGGAAATGGAAAATGGTTCCGGTAAATAGGCTTCATTATCAGGGTGAGCCATGAGAACAGTTGGCAGGGGTGGTAGTTCCATAGGAAAGACTCACTTGAGATCACGAAATGAGGTTCACAAACAGAGTTGGGGGAACCCAGCCACTCACCAGCAGGTACAGAACGTTAGTGTGTAATTTCACTTCTTAGTCTGCGCCTCTCAGCACTGGAAGCAGAAACTTAGCAGGTGTTTGCACACTCGTGCCCAGAGCAGCGTGGTCGCGGCAGCTGGGTGGAGGCAACGCAAGCGTCGGTCAGTGGGCGGATGGGCAAGCAGAATGCGGTGTATACTTACAATGGGATATTCTCCTGTCTTCAAAAGGAATGGAATTCTGATGCATGCTACAATGTGAAATAATTGTGGAGACATTATGTTAAGTGGAATAGACCAATGCAAAAAGATAAAGAGGAAGCGAGTCCACTTACATGGGGGCCTGGAGTGGTCACATTCAGAGGCAGAAAGTAGAAGGAATAGGGAGTCATTGTTCAGTGGGTTCAGAGTTTGGGTTTTGCAAGATGACAAGGTTCGGGGGATGGTGGCGATGATCTCACAACAATATGAACGTACTTAATGCTGCTGAACTGTACACTTAAAAATGGCTAAGATGGTAAATTTTATGTGTATTTTACTACAGTTTTTAACAAGTTAACATTTGGGTTGACGTGAGAACACAGGCATGCGAGTTGGGCTGAAGCTGTCCCGTCAGCCACCGAGCTCCAGGCCATGCCTGTGGCATAGGTCCTTGGAGAAGTAGACATCCTGCCCTCCCAGAGAGTGTTGGATGGCCCAGGTGGGGCACAGGACCAGGACTGCACCCCGGTGAAGCACACCTGGGTCGGGAAACTCAGCTCAGAGAAATGGCAGGAGCATCGAGTCATTTGCCCGAGGAGAGAAAACTTATCATGATCTGATAGCTGCACACAGAAAAGAAATGTGTGAATTTATTTTGTACATCCTC